ATACCAATCTCAAGTTCCATGTAATTGTTTGATTACAAGACTCAATAAGAAAAAGCGTTTTGATCAGATTTTTGGGCCCCATTTAATTTCCAGGTATCTAAATTTTGCTCTTCACGGTTTCAGAAAAACCGCTGCGATAAATCACAAAGAGAACGACAACATAAACAGTGTGGTCTGGATTGACGCAATCGCCAGTCCGCAGCTCTTTGGCACCGAAGAAGGTCACGAAAAGTTAACAGGAAAACCCCAGAATGCTCCTTCATACGGCGCGGAGCGTGCTGAATCATGAACGGGACGAGATATAGGGGATTTTCGAGATGCTCTGCGCAGCGCTGTGGGCGTCCGACAGGAAATGGTAGGGAGGCGGGGGGGGCATGAGACTGCTGCAGCTGTACATTGAGGAAATGGTTCTGAGATGCAAAAAGGGGTTGGTGTGGCGGAGGATATGGAAGAATGAGGTGCCCCGCGCCGAGGAAAACAGACTTGTTTTCTAACGTGGGTGTCTCTGTGTGGAGGGTGGGGGTATCCCACTGCTAGTGAAAACAACAATGCAGGAGGGACGGTTACGACAGTCACGTTTGTTCAAAGTGGACAGGTGAAACTGGAGGCCTTCGTTAATTATATTCCGCGGCATAAGAGAGCAGTGGAAAAATCACGGCATCACCTGATATCACCTACCATTCTGCCTGGCCCTGGAAGACTTGCAGAATTCTGCAGCTCACTGTCATGAACAACTCTGTGGAAGAAGAAATGGAAAACATTGGAAAGCAGTGCAAAGGCAGCAGGTGTGCCGAAAGCACGGCCGTTATTTATATTAATGGCCACACAGTGCATTTTGAAACTAAAGTTTTGAATGATGAAAAAGACGTTAGATAAACAAGGTATTGCTGATGGTGACTTTTCATTTTTATTTTCATTAATGTTTTTAACTGTTTTCTAGAAAGGAAACAACGCCCTGATAAAGAAATGGCTGTAAACCTCAAAGGAGTGTAACAGTGGGGACAGAGATTAACTCATATTCTCACACCTGACTGCTGCATCTTCCGTTTCCAATCATTTTAACTCTCGAATTTCCTCTGAAAAGAACTGTGCAAACACGTTATATGTACTGTGTCAGTTATATGTATACTACATGCATCGAAGTTTCTTTATCATCCAGGTATTAAAATTGTTGCTGAACCCTGGAAAGCATAATCCTCTGGAAACAATCCTTCTGCGACTGGAGAACGTCTTCCTGGTGTATTGTAATACAAATATATTGCATCTATCATGTACAGTACCTCATGGTACCACAGCGTTTCATAAAAAGAGCATTTGGAATACTATACACAGAAAATTTCAATTGCTCTGATGCAAATTAAACTGCTCTGATGGCATCACTACAACAGCTGTCAAAAAATAGTTAAAAACTAAACGACGACACCCCTACAGAAAAGTTTAGAACATAACAACTTAAGAAAAATTGCAAACAAGATGACATTTGCTCTTGTTGCAGGTTTGTTTTGTTTTTTTTTTTGCGATCTAAGTGTCGCATAGCGTCTTTCAGGACACTATGCAGACAGCCCAACCCGGAAGGGAGCGAACAGACACGGGGAGGAGACGAGGAACAGGGCTGGTAGACTAACAGGGGGGCGTGGCGAAGGTGCTCGAGGGGGCGTGGTCCAGGTAAACAGTCCAAAGGGTGTCCGTAGGGAAAGTTGCACCAAACCCCCTTTTAAATAAGCAGAAATGTATAAATATGTTAGATTTTCTGTAGTATTTTTATATGCAGACCTTCATTTGTATTGTCAGAGAAATAAGCTTTGATGACATGTATGTAGAAATAATTATTTTCAGATCCAGTACGTCCACGTCTTTTTTGTGAACTTAAGAATCTTAGCCACAAGAGGGCGACAGTGCCAATAATTCGTTTGAAAGATGAAAAACAGGTATTCGGGTACACTATATTCTGAATACAGAATATAAAACTAGAATCATTAACAGGAACAATAAAACTGATTTAATAAGCAGCATCTAACGATTCTGCTCCATAAATAATCCATTCCTTAAAGACTTTTCTTGTAGGGGTACAGCCGCGTCACCCAGATCTGACGTGAATCACACTCCTAGAAAAAGCATGGCAGCCGTTGTGCGCCAGCAATCTTTCAATTAAGCAATATTTCAGTTCAGGTAGGTCTGATTGTGTAAGATGAAAGTCCTCATCCTCAGGACATTCTACTCTTACAGATCCAGGGAGTTTGAATGAACTTTTCAATAATAATAATCCCTTACACTTATATAATGCTTTTCTGGACACTCCACTCAAAATTCTTTACAGGTAACGGGGATGATGCGACAGCAGCCATAGTGCGCCAGTACGCTCCCCACACACCAGCTCTCAGTGGGGAGGAGAATAGAGTGATGAAGCCAAATAATAATACTGATATGTAGTTAGTTGTAACAGGTAGTAAACATAGTTAGCCATGTGTTTTGTTTAATTTAGTTATAGTGTTTTTACGTGACATGCGTCATGTCATGCGTAGTAAGGCTGTTGTGCGTCATTCCTGTTCCGGTAAGGCGGGAGAAAGCAGTATGGCGTAAGACCCAACAGCCTTGCTTTGCTGCTGGTGTCTTGGCTGTATGAACGTACCTATACCTCGTGCTGGACCTCGTCGCCTTCGTTAAAACCCACGTTTACAATGCTACGACCTGTAGCACTGTTCCCCCAATCAACAGGCTAAGGTGTCGCGTTTGGGTATTCTGGTCAAGGGTAACACCTGCTTGATCACCCTGGAGACTCCCCACACCAGTACTGAGCAGGATCAGTGTGCCTAGCTTTATCTGACCAGATCTGCTCAAAGCCAGCTAGAAGATAGTAACCAAATACACAATACAAATGTCAATAGAAGCAGTTCGTGGCATGATACATAACATTAAGTCTCAGTTAAAAAAAAATATTGCAATACGGTGTGTGATCCATAACTTTTCAGTTAGATACCTTAAAAAAAACAGATATTTCCTTCAGCTGTCTTCTTCAGCTAAACGTTCACCCATTTCTTGCTGTTATTTTGTATTTTAATCAGAATTTGTTTTGGAAAGAATGACAACTTCAGAAGTGTAGTTATCTGAATAGCGTTTGGAGCCGAATTCACTAGGTGGTGCTATAAATCAAACAAGTGTATTCCCTCCTCAAAATTCAAACTGCGTTTTACCAACGAAGATTCTTTTTTACTGCTTTGGCATTCCTCTTTGTAAGTGTACCTTTTCTTGAATAGTTATTTGTATAAGTCCCTCTTTGTAAAATTGTGCTTATTCTTGAAGTTTTTTGTATTAGTACATCTTATTTTGTTCGTCAAAAGGTATTCGCTCAGCTTTTTGAATGGCAACTCTTAAAAGGCTACAAAAAGGTGATCATGTCCAAACAGATACTTTAATAATTAAAGTTTATTTCGTTAATTCTTCTCAGAGATGGAGTGTGTAAACAGTGGACTCTCCGCCCATCGAGGAAATGGAGTTGCCCATTTCTGCTCAACTGATTTTTTTTTCTTGCTGTAATCTTATCAAACATTAAAGTACAAATTCTTCCTCAAACCCTCACTGTACCAGTCTATTATTGTTCGGGCTTTGTAGGACACTTTCGGCCGAACCCTGCGCGACAAAAACAAATCGGTGTTCCCCAGCTCCCTTCCTTACAAAGTCCTTCGTGGATGTCTTTTTTTTAAATCCACACAATCTTCCAAAATGTAATCTTGGTAAAACCATCAAGAGAATAATACAAGAAGATAAAACAGCATGTCGCACTATAACCATGACTACACAAGACAAAACAAAAATAACGGTGAATTCCAGACTGCTACAGTATACAGGTCTAATAAGAATATCTTAAACTCTAATATTTATACTGAATATTAGAATACTAATTTTCTAAATGCTATGAATATGAATACATGAGATGTTGTGAATATGAATACATAAATTAATCTGTATTGTTGACATAAGTTCGTGCTTTTTATATACAGTATATTTGAAAAAGACAGGTGTGGTGACGGCTGTTGGTTAGCCGTGGTCACGTACAGTACAGTGTGCGGCCGAGATGTTTTCTCCCAGAACAGAGACTCCACATTTTGGAGGGCTGTGCGCCAGCGAGCTCTGAAAAGCTTCAGAATCGCGATTCACTGCTTCCTTTTTGAAACCGTAGACATCGGTGAAGAGAAAACACTCTTTTTCACACCTTTTTACCGTCACAGCACCGATCTTGGGTGGGAAAAAAAGGGCGAGCCTGCAGTTCCATTCAGTTTTTCATCAAAATACAGCTCTCCCACCCTCCGCAGCAGGCGCAAGGAGAAGAAGCAAACCATCAATATTTTCAGACTGTTTATTGTTTATTCGCTGGGAATGCACCATTCAGTTAACAGTATATCCCTACTTTCTCAACATATCAGTATATTATAATCATTAAAGTATATTAATATAAGCATATTAAACACCGTCTCGGGCAATCCAGGGAACTTGCGAAGGGCTATACATTTTTCCCAGCCCCTTTCTGAGGTCTCCGGGAAACGTCATTAGTTTAACTCAGACGGCTCACACAGTCTCGGCGCCGCAGTCTTCTCAGGAATTTTATTTGATCGATTTTCACGTCTCGCCTCCCGTTCCTGAGAGCTTGTTGTGACAGCGTGGACGTGGACTGCGCTCTGGTCCGCTCGACAAAGGAAGGGCGCCGCCCTGCGGCCGTGGGGTGGTCTGTCTCACACCTGGCTGCCAGCCCCGGACACATTGTAGCCAGGCGGTAGGTTTAGCGCCGTGTTTCGCAATGCTGACCGGTCCTTGACACAACCTTAAATAACTTTACCTATTAAATTGTATTCCTTCCAAAGCAGGATGGCCTTAAAACAGCTGGTTCTTGTTACAGAAAAAAAAAAGGTTTGTGCTTTCAACCCCTCTCGATCTCAGACACGGAATTGGACCTTGCCTCCAGCTCCACCCACGCGTGTTTGCCGGGAGCGTGGAACCGTTTTGCACGACATCTTCACACACACACACAGCCAATATCACATCTGCCTCCATAAGTTATTATTTATTTTCTTTTTGTGTTACTTTACATATTCTTGGTTACCTTTATATTATATACATGCATACCTGTATACTTCTACGCTTATATATCCTCTATTTTACCGGCACTCATGAGGTTTATTAGTGCTTTGTCGCTGTCGTTATCAGTATCAGTACTATTAAAAGGCTAAAAAATAGGTAAACCGACATCATATCCAAACAGATACTTTTAATTCGGTGATTATGCTGGGAGATGGAGTATAAACAGTGGACTCTCTGATCATCGCGGAAACAGAGCTGTATTTTCCTGCTGTAATCTTATCCATCTTTAAAGTACAGTTCTTCCTCAAACCCTCAGTTTGCCAGTCTATTGTTCGGGCTCTGTACTGTAGGACGCTTCAGTATTGCTGGGTCATGCGAAAGAGAGAGGAGATCGGTTGCTCGGTGTCGATTGTTAGTGTCTGAGGAATCGACACCAGTGGGTTTTCCCTCTTGCTCTTGGGTTTCGTTTTGTCTGATCCCAGACCCGAATATTGAACAGGAAGTCTGAAAAGGTGCTTTAAACGACGGGGGAATGCGTAAAAGTAAGTGAAACTCTCGTAAATGGTCTTTTTCCGATGAATCGTCCTCCGCAGAGTAAGAGTTTTTTTTTTTGTAAAGAAAAATAGTTTTGCTTTTAACCCTTTTTGTATGATGTAGGAACTAAGGTATTCCGTTTCAAATAAAACGCTAATAATAATGATGTCTTTTTCCGGGGGATGTAGGAACGGTTTTGTCTCATCTGTAGGCTGGGCATTTTGTGAACTGGACGTGTCAACGATAGATGTATCGACTGGTTTCATCTTGACAGTAGTATTGGTTTTGAATACCTGTCCGGTATTTAATAACGCAGGGAACGCTTTCTAAATATGCTAGTCTTTTTAAAGGTAAAATATACTTAATAATGCCGATATTATTATGTGAATATTCACAGCCTTTTCTATAGGTTGTAGGCACTTTCCTGCTTCGTCAAACTTTCCTGGTTTGTTCTCTCCGAATACGCAAAAAAGTTTTTCCTCTCGCAAAGGAATATTAGAAATAGACAAAAGTTAAGAAAAAATACTCGATTACAAATATCTCCCATACGTACGTATGTTTCGTTTCCAAACTGTATTTAACAAATGTAATGTGTTCTTGAATAGTGTGGTTTTACCATGGATAGCGCATAGTGCCCTTATCTTTGCAGTTGTACGTCATAGCAAAGGAGGGACATTTTAACAAGATTAACGACTTTTAGATTCTATTTCATAACTAATAAGATTAATTAAGACCTAAGGGGGAGGTTGTGTAACCCAGAAACGAAAAAACTGAACCCGATCACGCATACCAAAGTATGAAGAGCGCACCTCCCATTTTCAAAGGAGCAGTATGTCTTTCATTGAGACAATTCACACATGGCAAATTTGCAGACGTACGTACATTCGCAACCTCCCAGGTATTCTTGCTCAGCCCATCTGATTTGCTGTAGCCAGTTGTGTGTTTGTCCTGGCTTGGCTGGCAGCTATATGGTATGTGGCAAGTCATCGATTTCAGCTGAAGCTAAACGTATTGGAAAGCTTACATGAGCATGAAGAAAGAACTGTTCAGACGGTTCTTCCGAGTGCTCGGCGAAGCCTGGAGGGATCGAATTGGGAGGGTTACTGTACGTGGGTAGCATTGTGATTGCTGTGTGGTGACAGGAGGGCGCGAAGCACTTGGAATTGAGGGCAAAAGCAGACACGTGTACTGTAACTGCGTTGTGTACTAGGCTGTTGCACGTTACACCGTGTTACTGTCGTACTGAGGCCTCTGCCACGTTGTTTCTCCGCAGGCTGTCTGTAGAGCAGCTTCTGGAGAGCGGAGCCATGGCTCTGGAGTCCATCCGTATGAGCTCCACGGACCTCATCAAGAAGGAACCCCTGGACTATGGCGGCTTCGGCCAAGTCTTCCTGTGCTACCATCAGAGCCATGCTCTGGTGGTCTTGAAAACAGTTTACACCGGGCCACCACGCAATGAGTAAGTCAGACTCGGCAGTGTTTTAAAGGTGGCTGTTCAGGATCTGTTATTCTCTGTGGACCTCTTTCACTGGTGTTGGAGAAGCTGGCCAGGATGATGGACGAATCGGAATAGAACAACATCTTGTTTTCTTAGGATAACAAGATACCTTTAGCTTGCACTGAGGTGGACGCTTACATTTTTGGGGTTCAAAACTTTGAATGCCAAAATCTGAAATGCAGTTCCCCGTGTCAGTAGGGTGTCGTCTGTGTATTGTCAGCTGGGTGCAGGGCTTCAGTTTTGACCAATAAAAAAGCTTGCAGGCCCCACCTGGATAGCTATTGTAACAGTTCAAATGTGAAACCAATGGCTTTGCTCTGATTGAAATGGATTGAAACTGCACTCTAAGCAAGATTGCAAGATTTTGCAAAAGTAGATGGCAATTTTAAAAATAAACAGAAAATGTCCTATATAATGATGTTGTGTTTCTGGAGGACCATAAACTACATCTTCATGGACCGAGTGCAATTGCCTATAGCTTGGGGATGCATAAGACATCAGGGTAGTGTATTAATATAAGTCAAATATTCATGATTTTACCCTGTTTAGGACTTACCTTCACTGTGTTCACATCTGTTTTCATTTATAACATTGTTTTCAGATGTAGTTCTTCTTGGTGTAGAATATATGGCATAGGTGATCATCACAAATCGCTACATAAAGAAATTCCCACCTTTTTCTGCTTTCACTTTGCGATGTATTATGTGGCCATTGTTGCATTTGTATTGCTTTATTTGAAATAAGTTGACAGAAATTAAGAGACTCACATATACCCAAATTAATTAATTAATTCTGCAACAACACCTTTGTAGCCCAGATCGAGCACACTTTTCTTCACAGGCAATTGAGAACAGTAGGCACACCTTTCCTCAGAGGCTTGTGAGAACAAGCTTCCTAGCCGTGCTGCTGAAGCTGGTATCCCTCCTGCTTTGAAGAGGCAGCTGGAAGAGAACCTCAGATCAATTAGCGACTAGCAGCCAAGTCAACTATATGGACCAAATGGCCTCCTTTCACTTGTAACTTTTATGATGTTCAATATCAAGTACCTTTTTGTTTTTTTATTTTTTCACACACTCGGATATCTGCCTATTTGTTGCAGAGTAAGGGTTCAAGCTTGACAAACTGTGGCTTCCAAACCTGTAAAACAGTTGTAAGAGTGATTCGTTTGTGAGTCATGAAATTTGCGTAAAAATGGCCAACACCCATTGGAGTTTTTTGTTGATCTTTATTTTGTTCCCTCAAATTGTCTGTTCTATCATGTTGGCCTGTGTTCTGTAAATACATTGACGTCTTTATAAGCATCATCTCTACAAAACCGGGTATGCAGAGGGTAGTTTGGTGGTTTTTGTGCTACAATGTGAACCAAATACTAAATCACCACTTCCTGTTTCAAGTGGTGTTTCACGTCAATAGATTATTAGAAACAAGGCTGGTGAAGGAAGTAGGAAAATTCTCTATACAGTATTGCTAGATATGACCTATAAATGAACAAAACTATGTATACAGTAGCCACATTTTAATATCTCATTTAATATCTCTGCTGTGGTTGATCCAATGGTTGTGGTAATTAGTCTGTAGCTCAGGAATAGTAATTCCTTGTGCTCTTGAGTGCTTCTCATCCCAAAGAATCCCAAAGCTCTATGCATATAGGAGGGGACTCACTACTTCATAATATTCTGAAGCCCATTTTTATTAACTTGCTCAAAAGTACAGAGTATGTTAATTAGGGTTTTTTTTAATCTATGCATTCCATAAGCACATTGTTTTTCATTGTATCATATCACCATTGACTTTGAACAGTGTACTTGGGTGATTTGTTGAAGACTAGATTTCAACAGTTTGGACACAAAAATTGCACATTGTGGGTAATAATATTAGTAAGCTGTCCAATAAACATATGTACAGTATGTATTTCAGTACTGTGTGATTTTACCAACAAAAATAGGTGCAAATAATTAATATTTTATTGCTTATTGTCAGTCTCTCATAAGAGAGACTGATAACAGATAACTGAGGTCTGTTTTATTACAATGTTTTCAGTTCGCTGATGCATCCTTTTGTTTTTTACCACAGGAGCAGCAAAAAATCACTCATTTATGAAGGGAACATAATGCACAAACTGAACCATGAACGCATTGTCAAGCTGCTGGGAGTGATTTTAGAAGATGGCGCCTACTCTCTAGTGATGGAATATGTCCCTAAAGGCAACTTACTTTCTATGCTAAACAATGTAAGTGTTATTTGTTTGTTTTTTTTTCAAGATTTTGACGGTCTTCTTTTGTAACAGGTGCCCTGACATTTTACTGAACAAACACGACATGATCCAAAACACTATGCTCCAGATTCACTCCAGAATCGGCAGTGAAAGTCACATGCTAGTAGCTTATGTGATCAATGTTGAACCAATACAAGACATCTTTGACGTTGGAATAAGTAATGGGTTTATTCCATGCTCAAAAGAGAAGAAAGAAAACACAACATTTCGGCCGTGGAGCCTTCTTCAGGTGGGAGGGACTTGAAGAAGGCTCCACAGCCGAAACGTTGTTTTCTTTCTTCTCTTTTCAGCATGGAATAAACCTATTACTTTTTCCTTTGCAGCCTACGCATGCTGATGTAGCTCCCCACCTGAACTATCTGTGACATTGGCTTGGCATCAGCTTGCGGATGTAGTGTGGGGATTCGGTCCCATTCCTCTTGTAGAGCCTTGCGCCTGATCGGTGGTCTCTGAGGTCTACATTCCTCACACCATCTGCGCTTAAAAGCCATCATCACACAACCAACACGAGTCTGTGAGTTCTCCTTCTAGGATGTCATCCTGTCAGGATGAACCCACCGGATGGGCATCATGTAAGTTCGAAGGACTTGATTAGATGGGCCAGATACCATTAGGCCAGAGTGGTCTGTGTATCACCAAATGGTTAACCACTCCAAGTGGAGTTGTGTGGCAACTAGGCACTGCAAGGACCCCCAAGTCAATTGACCTGTTAGCGTATCATTCGGCACGTCTGCGCCATGCTCGGCAATTTCCAGTACACAGGTTGACACAAAAGCATGGGCTGCACACAAGCTTGGTTCATCATTAGAGACCTGAGCCCATGGCCAGCTCCAGGGCTGACAAATCCACCAGGAGTAACCTTGTCCAGCCTGCAGCATACTGATGGTGCCAAGGTGTTGTGCTCTTGAGAAGGGGGACGTATAGGTTCCTTTCTGCGTTTTTCTTTCTTGATTTTCGCCAGGCTTGACATTCAACAGGTTAAACCAATTCAACACCTAGGCTCAAACCAGTGTTTCTCTACTGAGGTAATTTAGTGCTTATGCAACAGTCACTAAAATGTTTCACAGGCAGTCACATTGATTGATCAATTAATCAAAATGATGGCAGAATATTTAATCGATATTCCTAACCTGTGTAATTTATTTTTCTAAAAATGTGCCTGCATTCTTAGTTATTTTGACATTTGGCAGTCATAAAGTCTAGACGTTTGACTAAACGAAGCTGGAAGATGAATGAGAGATTTAGTGAAAGAAGCATTAAACATTAGAAGAGCTTTGAGTTTAGAAAGTTTAGAAAACCCTCAACTCATGAAAGGAGCTCTCTTTATAATAGGATGATGTTATCAGTACTGCTTTGAGTCATGTTATGTTGTTGAAAGAATGCTTTTGATAATCACAATTATCATCTGTTACTCCATATACAGTAGCTCATGTGGAACTCATAAGCAACATTTAAGGCAAGTTTAACTAACAGCAGGTCTGGCTGGAAATATTTCAGTAGAAAAAAGTGTGATCAGTCTGCACAATCCATATTTCATGTACTTAAAGTATGTGGTAACTTACCAGCCAGAAAGCACTGAAAGTGTGAAATGAAATATGAGTCTCCAGTGTTATTTTTTGTTTTGCGCAGTGTCAAGTTGAGGGAATTGTCAGGCTGCCTTGTAATAAATAACTTCAAAAGGCAAAGATGTTCTAGCTGTTTGGCCCATAATCATGGATTAACAGTAATCGAAAGCTAAAAATTTAATTTATGATTGGCTCAGTCCACCCATATTGGTCAAATGGTCAATGAAAACATAACTTATATGACATTCTTTGCATAAGTTGTCCAGGTTATCATTGTTTCAAAGTATTATTTTATTCGTTTTATTCGAGTTAAAACTAGGCTCCGATAAACAAACCAAGAGTATGATTGTGTCTTAATGTACAGTATAGGCAGTTCTTGCTGGACAGCAGCACTCGTGTGTTCTTTGGTTATTTTTAAATTATTTTTCTTCACTGTGCAGGAAAAACACCCTCCAGAATATGGTTTGCTTTTGTTTGTTTTAGGTGTCCGTGCCCATTTCAGTTCAGGGAAGAATTATTTTAGAGATCATTGAAGGGATGGTGTATTTAACCAATAAAAATGTGGTGCACAAGGACCTGAAGCCTGAAAACATCTTGCTGGATGACGATTTCCATATTAAGGTATTGACTCAGACAGTGGGCGACAGTTCTGCCTATTGTGTGCTGTGAAACTGACAATGCACAAGCCTTAAGATTTAGGGTTTCATGTTCTGTCATTTAATGTGGACCATGATTGAGGTTCTCTCATACATCTCCATAACATTATACATTGTGTCTTTATTTTAAAAATATGCATTCAAATCCAACATCCTTTTTGCCATTATTGCGTGTCTGTACCAAGCCCAAGCTGTAATGGGAAATGGCATAGCATAGCCATTCTGAGCTGATATGTGCCATGGGGCTTCATGAGCTGCAGATGGGCTCCCATAGTCTCTACCAACATCATGACATCAGTGAGGGACGTGCTGCTCTTCCAGTCCATGTTAACTCCCCTGTAAGGCGCTGTGGGGCTTGTGACCTGTCGGATGGTAAATGAATCTGACGGGGGGCCAGGAGAGTGTGTTGGGGGAGAGCATGCACAGGTCTTCAGTCCTCTTCCTCTGTGTACAGCGCAGGAGCTGTAGGAAGGAGCCGAGTCGATGAAGGAAACGGCAGATCCATATCGGGGGTTTAAAACAGGAAATTGGCGCTCAAGTTAAAGGATGAAAAGCATTCAGTGTAAATTGACAGGATTTACATCAACGTTTTATGGGGTTTAAAATTGTTTTTATTTGTGCTGACTTTGTTTTCAGGATTTTAATTTAAAATGTTTACGTATCTTTCTTTACATTGCTGTATCTCTGATAAAAACGTGAATATTTAAACGTATTGGTGTGGTCAGCCACAAAATAAATGTTTGATGTGAGTCGGATATTAAATATTCTGTAAGGCGTGGGTCAATTAATTGCAGAAAGCTAATGGTAAAAGTAGATTTTCTTTTTCAAATGAACTCCTTTCGTAAAGCAAAGGGAATTCTTCACATCTACAAGACCGCTCCTTAAGAAAATGTCCAGCTCGAACTAAGTGCAGTGTGTCAGGTTGTTGTCCCCTGTGAGACGGCCCAGCTCACGGAGTGGGGTTTTGTCTGCTGTCGTCCCGTGGAAGATTGCGGACCTGGGCTTGGCTACCTGCCAGACCTGGAGCAAGCTGACCAAGGAGGAGACCCGGAGACAGAGCCGTCTGGGGAACAAGTGTGCTGTGGGCGCCGCCGGCACCCTCTGCTACATGGCCCCCGAGCACCTGGAGAGCATCCACGCCAGGTCGACGGAGAAGTCGGATGTGTACAGCTTCGCCGTCGTCGTCTGGGTCATCCTGACCGGCCGGGAGCCGTACGAAAGTGAGTAGATCCGCGGCATCTCACTGCCATCCTGGCCAGATTGCAGGTCAGGGAGCAGAGACCTGCGGCTCACTGTAACCTTTCCTAATGAGCTGCCGCGGCAGTCTAACTCCATCCTTCAGGCCTCGGCTCGAGTGAAAATCGGAAATCCTGTGTCGCCTTTAAGGGGCTGCTGTGCACACATCTGCTTCATAGCAGGCAAAGGGTTAGGGGCTGCTTTTTTATCTGTACTGTTCTTTCAATTTTGCATTGCTAGGCTTCGAGAAGAGAGGTGGGGTTCACAAAGAAAGTTTGGGAGACGTCATCTCGCCCAAGTTCCCTTTCCCCTCAGCTGCCCTACTTCAGAATCATTCCTAATGGGGTTTTTTTCTGTCCTACAGAAAAAGCTACAAATGCCACAGCGAGCCCCTGTGCCTTCCTTGCACTTGTCTTTTGCTGTCCTTCTCCACCTGCGCTGCTCCCTCCAGGTCAACTTCTCCCTTATCCAGGGGGGGAGTCTGAGCCAAAGCCCAGTGCCCGAGGGGCTGACTCTCACCCGGGCGTGTTCAGCCAAATCTTGCTGTGACTGAGCGCTCCCTGTACATTTTCAGGTCGTATCATTCTTGGGTGGTGTGACTCCTCATGGAAAAAGTGTCGGCCTGTTTGAACTGGGGCCCGTGTCGTTCTCCGGTAGCGACTGGGGCGATCCTAGGCAACAGCGGCCCGCAGGCGGCTGGGTACCGGTGACTGGGGTTGGGTGAGCTCGAGGGAGCTGTGGGCTCGGAGGCCCGGGGCCTCATCTCTTGGAATCACACCTCTCCGATTGGAGGTGCCCCCAGTGGATCCTGCGTGGACTTTCGAGCTTTCCACTTTGGAACAAGAGTTGCACAGCTGTCAGACACATTACCAAGGCGATTACACGTGTGTGTGTGTGTGGGGGTTAATGGAACAGTAATTGATCTCCAATTTCAGAAAAAGATTTTAAAAGAGAAGAGAAGAACATTCGAATGGTCACAGACAGGAGGAGGCCATTCGGCCCTCGCCTGTTTGAAAGATATCTGTTAATTGATCCAAGGAAGACACATTCCCGGGGCCTTGTGCTTCTGGACTCTTCTCCACCGGGCAGCTGGGTGCTTAGTGGTGACTTAGGTATCCAGGTCTTGGGACTACTGCTCATAGTGTTCTGTGGGGCTTCAGTGTCTTAAGCTAACTCTTCATTTTAATCAGGGGCTTTTCACTGTGTACATTTGGACATATCAGACTACTCCCCAAACCTGAGTAGCTGACAATTCAAATTCATTAAGAATCAAGTAAATAACTGAGCGTTTAGCTGAGCAGAAGAAATTATACTGTGCCTCAACAGGACTGGATTGAGGGATCTTTGCTGCAGATCAGAGTCACCTATTTCACGTAGGAACTGCTGTTACATACGTCATTTCCCCACGCGTGAAATTGCAAAAGAATTGCTTCTTGCTACTCCCCTGCAGTTTGCAGCTCTTCTCCTTCCTGCCGCTTTGAAAAATAAGTGCTCCAATTCCCTTTTGTGCAGTAGTTTTGCTTCCTCTTTGTATTTTAAATTTGGAACTTCCTATGTGGCGACAAGCCTGGCGAGGGGTGAGAGATGTTTGAACGAGACAACTGTGATGAATTGTGTGCGGTAGAGCAGAGGTTCCCAGGCCTGGACGTGGAGAACCACACACCTGCTTGTGTTTCTGCTCAGTTACACTGTTGAACCCCTGTTTTTTATAAGTGAAATACAAATAAACTTTCAAGTTGAAAAAAAAACTTGCAAATATTCTCATCGAGCATCTTGTTAGTTCAGTTAAGCCTTCAGTTAGATATCTAATCTTGAGCTATGATGGTCATTCATAAAAACTAGTAGGAGTGTGGGTCTCCAAAAATGAGGATTTTGGAATCCTGCATTAAAAACAAAACGGGAATAAATTTGTGTAAATGTATCTGTAGTCAACAGAAACAACTTTAATGGGATTCAAGGGGATCTGGAAAATGTGCTGAGATTTCTCCAGGTGATTCTCTTCACGGAACTGACTGAGTGCGATATACCGAAATAACGCAATGACGTTTCTTCCCAGATGCACGTAATGAAGAGCACGTGTGCATGTGTGTGCGAAATGGTGATCGCCCAGACTTGAGCGCCGTTCCCCGCTCCACACCGCAGCCGATGACTACACTCATGGTGCAGTGCTGGCACCAGGATCCCAACCAACGGCCCAACTTCGCAGGTCAGCTTTAGCAGGGCGTCATGGGCACCGTGTGCAGTGACATCCATTAGCGTGTGGAGGCACTGTACCATCAACAGGACCAAAGTGCGCAGAGGGGTCAGATAACGTGTAGGTATTGTTCGCCAGTGTTCTCTGCAGATCTTCTTTTTCCTGATTCATGGCTGCGGAGTTGGGCTATTTTTCTCGTAAAATAGTTGTTAATTGTGAAGAGAGAACTTTATTGGATTTCTAAAATTCCAAGAATTTGGAATTTTCAAATTCTTTTTCTGCGAGAAGAATCTCGCAACCAACAGTGATGAAGTGTTCTTGGGAGAGAGAGAGAGAGCTCTGTAACGGAGCACTGGAGGGCTTAGCATCACAAGCTATGTCTCGGCCCATTTGAAAGACTCTTAGTTTATAGAAGAGATTATACTGTGAACACTCTGTAAGCCTGGAGCGTCTGAAGGTTTTCATTTCATCGCGGGCCTTAACGGGCTAAACCAGCTGGTTACTGGCTTAACTGGACCCATTTAAATGCTTTACTCCCAGCGCTTCAAAGCCTCTGCTTTAAAGAGAACTTAAAACCCAGCAGATGCACTGTTCCTGCAGCACCAGGCTTGGGCACCCCTGGTGGTAGTACTACGTTCAAAGCCTCGTAAGTATCGTAAGGCAGGGGGGAATTACATGCTTGTTATTTGACAAGAGGATTTAATATTCACTTTCTCAGAAATGCCGTTTGGAATACAAGTTGTGTGAATCAGAAATACTTTGCAGGCCCTTTCAGGTTATTATGAGAAATAAAGGACAAATCACACCTTTGGTTGTTTCCAGTTTGTGTCCCACCCCAGTCTGACCATGTGTTCTGTCATTGCAGAGTGTTACGATATTTTCAGACCCTTCTATGAAGAGCAGCTGGAAAACAGCGTGGAGCAGGATGTGCTCCGCCTTAAGGTAATTTACATGATTTCAGCCAGTGTGCTTTGTTGATTCCTCAGCTACTTTCTAAATTTAAGACAGCTATAGATATAATATTCTTGTTGCAATTTGACAGGATGTCCCATTCATTCAAGTCTCCATGCTTAAAGAAAGGACACCTTTTCATTCATGATTCTACAAGATAGGAAATAAGATCTTCTCTTATCAATGACCTCTCTTGTAGTAAATATGCTACTGGTCTCTGTTGATTTGTAAAGCAGACGGATATTCCAGACGGACAAGGTTCAGAAGTCTTAAGCTGCTCTTATGTGATTTACTGTACCGTTCATGCAGATTATCTTGACTACTCTTTCCAGAGCAGCTGTAAGCCTTTTTGAAATTGTTTAAACAGAGGGGGACTTAAACTTTTCAGCCTGAGGTTATTCTGGAAGTGTTTTTACAGCATCATAGAGTCTTAGACCGTGCGCTATGATTTAAATTTCTCATTCTGTCAGCTTTTTTGATGCTTCTAAAACATTGTGTGAAAATGAGTTAGTCTGATAACGGCAGATCTGATTTTGATAACCAGGGAGTAAGGCTAAGGGTGTCGCACAAACTCATTTCTCCTAGAGCAGGAGGGACCTGTTCATAATCAAAGCGATTCTGAACAAATGTAACCTCCCTGCATGTACAGTCTGTACTAGTCTGGTTACATTAATAGCAACTGTGTCCAATCACGGTGTCTTTCAAAACCTGACACCTGTTCAAAGATCTGAGACAAAGATGTCTTTTCCTTTTCCACTTTTGATCCATTGACAGTTCGGTGAATAGACAACTGTTATTTTTTTATTTTTCTATGGGTAATATTTCTAGATATTACAGATTAGCAGCATGTATATGTACTATATACTGTACTTGCAAATGCATGTCGTTGTATACACAGTGTGTGGGTGTTCAGTTTATCTCTAAAGAAAATACTGGATGTACAGTATATATCCACGAAAACATAATCTATATATCTTTTTATATAATACTTTCTCTAATTATAAGTTCAAAGAGACCTTTTGCCTTTTTCACTTCCTTTGTTCTTTATTCTAACCTTTTAGTTTCTACTATCATTTCCCTCTTTTCACAGTCAGTGATTTAAAAAATCCCTTTTTTTTTAAACGCAAATACAGGGCACGAATATGCCCAGCACTATCCTCAGAATCACTTCATTACAGAAACTGAATGTTCCCACACCTCAAAACGTGCTGAAACACAAACGAGGGTCTGAAATAATATTTCAGGGCAAATCATGCTCTGCCAGCACTTTCAGTCTGAGAATCAGGAGCTAACACATCAGTCCTGTGATCAAAATCTGCCCCCTGGTGTTTTTTTTACCGGTTATCTATTTTCATTCCTTCTCCCCCCCCCCCCCAATGTATTGTATTGTCAGCAGTTCTATACTTTCTTAAAATACTATTTTGCCCCGTCTTTGACGTGTTTTGGATCTCATGCAAGCTTTTTTAGGTATTTATTTCTGATGCTAGCCCCCTACATCCTTCTGGATTAAGGGTCCGTTTTCTCTGCAAGTTTCACTTGTTCGCTAGACGTGCTACAGCTGTAATCTGCATTGTTTATCGATACAGGTGACGTTTTGTGCCCTAACACCGACGCCTGCGTACGTCTGCGCTCTATCTCGAGCTCAGAGGTGTCGAGCCGCGTCCTGTCCTGCCGTCATGGAAATTAAAAATCAAGCCCGCTCCGTAGTTTACTCCTTGGCCAGGGTCTGTCTGTATTGTGACACTGGTCGCAGTGGGGAGGAAGTGGCACACAGTGGGGACCTCAGGCTGCCTGAGACCCCGCCCCAGGAAACTGGCGAGGGCCCAGAAGCCTGCAGTGGTGTCCGGACGGAGTGGGCCGAGCAGGCCGACCTCCCTCATCCGTGAGGATTCCCAGGAGGCAGCACTGTGGAGCGCCTCTCGCGAGATCGCGGGCAGGCACTCAGCCCTGTGGCAGGGATTCAAACCGTGAGACAGACATACATACCCAACCCTTGAGCACACTGAGTGGCCACATTTCTCAATGGAGATGACGACGTGTTTCGATGGAATTATTCCAGTGTTTCCGTGCTTGTTTAATCGACTTGATCTTTAGGAAAAATTAGGTCAGCACATGACGCTGCAGTAGGAGAGCCGTGACGCACGCTCAGTCTGATGTTTCTTTGTCAAACAGAATACGTATGCAGGTCCAGAAGCTTTCGTGGAGAAGGTGAAGTCGCTTACAACAGAGGATTCAAGTTTACCAGCAGGTTTGTTGTTTTGATCTTATGAAGAGATGCTACGTGATCTGTGTTGATGTGATTCTGTACAGTCTTAGCCACCGATGTGATGACAGTTGCTCTGGCCAAAGAGTAGATATTTTTAGTTTTCAGAATTATACCAAATCGTGAGTCACTGGCAACCAGTCTCTGACATACTGGGCTTGATGCGCAGTTGCTAATTATTTGTAAATTTCTCGACGGTGAAATAAGGACCGATTTTAAGGCTGTCTGTGGTTAAAAAATTTGTCCGCGTGTATCAAAATAAGCAAGGTGTTTTTTTTTATATCTAACCAATATAAAAATAGAAATATATATATATAAAAACACCCCATTTGTAGAGATGAACAGAGAGAATGGGTGAAATTAGTTTCCTCTTTCCATATCTGTGGAAAAAACACTGAATAGACAAAACCGTACGTTTGGCGGTCTGACCTTGGCCTGGGCTGTGTGTCTTGGGTGCTCCCCGGCTCTCCTGAGGCGGTTCGGTTCGGTTACAGTAAAAGGTCTGATCACGCTGCCGCGAGCCCGGATCAGGGAGCTGGATGGGTTTTTCTGTTCCGCCGTCAGACAGCCCGGCTTCCCTGCGGAGCTCCGCGGACCGGCCCGTGGAGGCCAGCGTCGAGGACCTGGATTTCCACTCCGCGGTCGGCTCCATCCAGGCGGACGCCGCCCCGGACCTGGGCCTGCTGGAGAGGAAGCTGGAGGACGAGCTGAACTACCACAACTTCGGCAGCCGCC